AAAAGAAATTCTGATGAGCAAACATGTTAAAAATAGAATTTCTACTCTTCCTGCCTCCTGGAAAGGCCTCTCTCATTTCCTATAGAAACGATGAAATGTGCAGCTCCGTAAGTACACGGAGGAATATAACAAATTTTCCAATCATCGGCACTGGTTATGTGAGGGATGCAGAAATAGAGCTTAACAGGACATTTTTATTTCATGCAAGAAATTCTTCATCATTTATTATAGTTATTAAGAAGACTCTGAAACTGTCAGTCCTGCCTTTGACAAAATGAATTGCATTTTAAGTGCCCTCAAAGCAAAATCTCTCATGAAGGACAAGCCAGAAATAGATGGGATAACACAGAAAAAAAAAAAGCAGAAAGCAAGATGAATGAAACTAAAAAATGAGATGCTGTTTGAAGTATAACATATTTTAAAAATGGCAGGAAGAGAATGTAAAATGGCATAGCAAGAAGGAAATACATAGAGACAGGATATACACGTACAAATTCTTATGATCCAGATTTCCTCTAGGCACTTTCTTACTTGCATTGGTTATGAGATCATTTGTGTTAGTCTCTGTGCTTGAATATCACTATGTTTATATAAATATCTTTGAACCTTCATGTACTTAGAGTGCCATATGCTGTCTATGAGTTGTCATTTTAAAACACAAAAATAGAGAAAATGCAATTTATTGATTAGTACCTGATAGACTTTGCAGTGTTGTGGTGTAGCCAAAACAACACATTAAGAGAATGAACTCCTCCTTTTAAAAAAACAATCGATGCAACTTTCACAAATAACTTAATGCATCCTCAAATTCTCATTGGGAATATCATGATGATTATTTGTACTTACCCATCTTTAACATTGGTGATTAACATTGGTGATTAACCAATTTTTTAAGTATTGGAATCCCTTGCACAAAATTTACTCTACTTTTAAATAGTTACGCTATTCTCCTAATTCCTTTAATACTCTTTTGAGAGTTTATATAAAAATTGTTAAACAACCAATAAACTCTTCAAAGTTTATAGCGTATTATTAAAAAACCATGTTATTTAAAATTGATAATGCAGAGAACCTATGTAACTAATTCAATCAATCAAGCTACTTATTTCATTTGAAATGAAGAAAAGTGAAATATTTGCCTGAATTACACTTCATTTTACAAGACATATTAGTGGGCTTTCAAGTGCAATATGTAATAAACTCTCTCCAACCTGAAAACAACTATAAATACCAGAAACACATTTCAAGGTAGAAGTGATGCTTGAGGTACTTGTTTCAGTTTACTGGGTTGACAGCTCTAGGAGGTGATGAGACAGGGAACAGGGAAAAGGGAAGAAATCACATTGTATTATATTCTAATTAGTTTCAACAAGTGATTTTTAATGGTATGTCAAGGTGTTGTACTGAAATTACTCTGTGGTGTTATTATATTGTTAATATTTCTCTTCACTTGCTAAATTGACTACCACAACCACCAAAAATATTTAGAGCATTTACAGAGTGAAAAGTTAAGATTATTTTTAAGCAGATGCATTGGTGTTATTCATCTATAACACATTCAGTATATTAAAATCCACCAAATGTTATAATAGAAATTTCAATATGCAGTTTTGAAGAACTAAAATGTCTTAATAATTTTTGGACTCTGCCTAAGAACTCTCTAAATATGAAAATAATCACCTTTGCAAAAAGGCAATAAAAATTTCAAGAGTATTAGTTATTAACACTCTCGGTAAAACAATAAATGAAGGCATTTTTGAAATATGTAAACCTGGAAATGTTTTACCTTGTGGAATTTCTAAAGAAAGTAACCTTCCTGCTCTTTAATATGACTATAATAGCAGCTGAAGGGACATAGCACAGTGAGTGCAATGGCTGAAGATAGTAGAGCATGACACATTTTAGCAGTAGAGTGTATCCTATATAATAAGAGGCTAATATGCAAATCGACCAAACAGTGGAATGACCAGTCACTATGATACACATTGCACACCAGGGGACAGACGTTCAACACAGGAGCTGCCCTCTGGTGGCCAGTGTGCCCCCACAGGGGGAGTGCTGCTCAGCCAGAAACCCTGAGCCAGGCTCACAGCTGGCGAGTGCAGCAGCGGTGGCAGGAGCCTCTCCTGCCTCTGTGGTAGTCTGATATCCACCGAGAGCTCCCAGGCTGTGAGAGGGTGCAGGTTAGACTGAGGGACCCACCGGAGTGCATGGATTTTGTGCACCGGGCCTCTAGTCTATTATAAAATGAGAAATGTAATTAACCAATATTCATATTCCTACTTATGCCCAAAGCACTTAACGACTGCATGTTTCAAATATCTAAAATGTTAAATTATTTTACCTAAAAAATAGAAGCTAATTGTATTTTGTTACATTTGCACCTGGCTGACATGTAAACTGAGCAAAGATGTCATTGTACAGTAGAAACAGTTGCGTTTGGGAACAAATCTAAATACATTTTTGGTTTCTCATTATTATTAGTTTGAAGAACTAGTAAGTAAAAAATAAATAAAGATCTTTGCCTTTTGTAAGAACATGTTTTATGTATGACTGAAGTTTTTACAACACTCCGGGAAAAAGCCATCCGATGTTAGATTTAAAAATAAAATCAAAAGCATTTTCTGACATAGTACACATGAAAAATTGGAAATTCCAATGTCTTCAATAGAAGTTATAGAAAGTGTATGTCTCCTTGGAATTTGACACCCACTTAACACAGCAGAAAATAAGGTACTATACTGTAAACAAAAAAAGTACAGTAAAGGACAGTTGTAAATTTACATAAGAATAGTTCATAAACATTTTGGTCTTCCCATAACAGTTTTTATATAAAATGATTAAAAAAACCTTAGACAGCTGTCATCACTCTTTTTGACCACTTTTCACTTAAATGCACACAGACATATTTATATAGCAATATATTGATGCACCATTACATGGATATTAAACTATGATTACTGCTTGTAACTGAGATGTGCATTATCCATTCAACATTATCCATAGTTGGAATACTCTTACATTATGTATTCTTGTCATGTTGTATCTATAAAAACATGAAAATATAACTTTACATTATTTCAGTTATTTACATTAGGTTCAAGCTTGACAGAGAAAATTCAATAAGCTACAGTTTTCAGAAGAGTCAGCCCAGAGGTACAATAAATAGCATTGATTGTATATGGTCATCGTTTTTATCTTTAAAAACTCATTTTCAGTACAATATGGAAACAATTAGTCTGCAATTTGGTCATTCTAGCATTTATTATTAAAATTCAAATTGCACCTCCAACATTCCTGATGAGGAGAAATGCACTAAATCACATTTTGTTCTCTTCGACTCTGTGATAAGGGACAGCTAGATTTAGTGAAGAACATCATGATGCCACATGTCACCATGTTCAATGGAATTTTCCCTTCTCTGAAATATAAAGAGTATATTTTCAAAGCACTTAGGTAAATACCAAGTGCTGCATAAGAATAAAAATATTGAAAATAACTACTGGATGTCTGTTTAAAACCCTAAATTAATTTTGTTTTAGGAGGCTTAATGAAAATAAATGTGTGTGTTTTTGAAGGGAAGATAGCTCCTTTAAATTTTTTTAACTAGAGAAATATAAGTTCTTTAGTCAAAAGTTACAGAAATGTAATATTTTATCCACCCTGGGCAT